GGCCAAAAACCAAGCAGCACCTTACCCGTACATTAGGCCAAAAACCAAGCAGCACCTTACCCGTACATTAGGCCAAAAACCAAGCAGCACCTTACTCACATTAGGACTTTATCCTAAGAGTAAACAAACGATACGAAGTGGGAGATGAGGCTGTGAGGTGTGCACTGGATAAAGATCATAATGGCTTCAGCATGAAGACGGGCGGGAACTGGGCAGGAGGCCTAACTGACTAGCGTTATACAGTAACACAGGAGCTAAACTAGGCAATGACAATGGCAGTCCTGGGAATATCACTCAGGTGACCATGTGTCTTCACATATGTTTTAATTTTATTTATTGGGTTTGGAAGGAAATAAAATTGCTGGGTCAAAGTATATCCACATTTAAATGTTTGTGATAAAACTACCAAACTGTCCTTTAATGACTGACGCAGCGATTTACTGTTACTAGTAGTGAGTGTCCACTCCTCTGCACCGTATCATCAAACATTAAAAAAAAAAAACCACTGACAGTACAGTCAGGGGCGTTACACTTCACAGGAGAGTCTCTTGGGCAGAGATAGATGTGGTGGCACAGGGCAAGGGCATTATTCTGAGATCCTCATAGGAAGGAGTTTTTACTTAAGGTCCTTCCAAGCCACCTTCCTGACATGAACCCAATATGTGGTAGAGCTTCAGTAAATGATTAGTAAATGAATAAATGGAGCAAATAAAAATCATCTACAGGAATTGGATTTTACTCTGTTCTACCTCCAGCTGCCTCCTCACTGGTAATGTGGTAATTTTTTTTTTTTTTGAACCAGTGTCACTTTGTCACCCTGGGTAGAGCGCCATGGTATCATAGCTCAAAGCAACCTCAAATGATCCTCTTGCTTCAGCCTCCGGAGTAGCTGAGATTATAGGCACCCATCACAATATCTAGCTAGTTTTTCTATTTTTAGTAGAGAAGGGGTGTCATTCTTGCTCAGGCTGGTCTGGAACTCATAAGCTCAGGGAATCCACCTGCCTTGGCCTCCTAGTGCGCTAGGATGACAGGCATGAGCCACCATGCCCAGCCATGATAATAATTTGAAAATAAAGAAGCACCGACCTGCTTTCTTTGACAGTGGCTAAGTTAGTGACCCCTTTTCCCTTAGGTCTGCATCTCATTTATCTCCATCACTGACCTTAGCACAACCCTGATAAAGAACAACCCTCAGTGAATGTTGATTTGGATGAAATCCATGTTAATCATGCATTTCACTTCATCTCTCTTAGTGGCAGATTTTTCCATAAAAAGCCTATAGAATAAAGTACCTAACGGTTGGCTGTGTCGTTTAAGGAATGAATGAGAAAGTGAACACACTTTAGGTATTTTGAAAAGTCTAGAGTAGTGGTCCCCGAACCTGGGTGTATGTGAGAATCATCTGGGAAGTTTTCATTCCGAAAATACACATTTCTTGGCTCTCTTGACTGAATCAGAATCTGTGTGTGTAGAAAGCGTGGAATCTATTTTTAACAAACTCATCAAATAATTCCTACGCAGAAGGCATGCAAAATTAGGAAACTGCCTCTGCCCCATCAAGAAACAAGTCAACAGGCTCGGTGCCTATAGCTCAACAGGCTAAGGCGCCAGCCACGTACACCTAAGGTGGCGGGTTCGAATCCCCAGCCCGG